TCTTCCCCCGCTTCCCTTCTTTTCTCCTTTGACTAGAGTGGGGAAAAAATTCTGTTGAGTCATTGAAATAAAAAATGCGATTGGCATGCAGCGTCTGTAGTAGAGATCTCAAACGTTGGGGGGAAGGAGACTTTTCCAGCTAGATTTGAGTCCAGGAGCACTTTGGAGACCGATAAGATTTTGGGGCCATGAGGTTTGGGGAGTCAAAACTCTGTCGGAGGCCAGTTGGAATGGAGATTCTGGAGTCCTTATAACCCCCACCCCGGTCAGAAGGCAGGAAAGAACTTGGGATGCAAACATTCGATGTACTCTTCAGTCCACTTGATTAGAGGCCGAGGGGAAATGGTTCGGGACTTTCCCCCAGGGTCGAATGGAGGTGCCCTGTTTTATGACATAGGAGAATGCCAGTATGTTGGCAATGCCCCAGAGCTTCTGGGCTGGTACCAAAATCATTGAAACAGCTGAGAGGCTCCATTAGGAAGGGAATTGAAAACAAATCAGTATCATCATGTCCCCCCTATAAATCAATGGTGCAACCTCATTTGGAGTACTGTGTGAAGTTCGGGTCAACACACCTCAGAAAGGATATTATAGCGTTGGGAAAAGTGCAGAAAAGGGCAACTCGAATGATCAAAGGGTTGGAACACTTTCCCTATGAAGAAAGGTTAAAGCACGTGGGGCTCTTTAGCTTGGAGAAACGACGGCTGAGGGGTGACATGATCGAGGTTTAGAAGATTATGCATGGGATAGAGCAGGTAGGGAACCACAGGAGGTGGTGGCGGCTACAAGCATGGACGGCTTCAGGAGGGAATTAGATAAGCATAGGGAGCAGAGGTCCATCAGTGGCTCTTAGCCACAAGGTAGAAGAAGGTATAGCCACAAGGTATAAAAAGGAACTCTCGGTCTGGGGCAGGGGATACTTTGTATTCTTGGTGCTTGGGGGGGGGGCAAGAGTGGGAGGGCTTCTGGTGTCCTGGCCCCACTGCTGGACCTCCTGAGGGCACCTGGTATTTTTGGCCACTGTGTGACACTGTGTTACCCAGAGTGTTGGACTGGATGGGCCACTGGCCTGATCCAACATTGGCTTCTCTTATGTTCTTATCCAGTAGCATGGCCAAAGAGTGGTAGTGGTGGTGGGACCGTGCCTGTAATCCAGGCAATGGGCTTTTTTTGGAGGGTGGGGATGTTAGAGGGAGTTAGAGTGTTCAAGTCTTGGGTTCAAATCCTGGCTCTGAGCAAGTCAGGGCTCTTCCTCCGTTCCGTTTCGCTCAGCGGCTGTTTCCAGGCCGAAGCGCCTGCAGCTGGAGCGAAGCCTCTGGTCTCTTTGAGAGTCATGGTACTGCTCTTGGGAGTGGAAAAGTGCTCTTAGTGCTGTGTGGTGGGATTACAGAGCAATCGATCTTTCCCTGCAGTTTCCTCTCTCGAGCTGAGTGATCAGCCAGGTGACTGACCACAGGCCACTCTTTTGCATTTTAGGAAATCCACCCGCACAGGCTATCCCCTCTCATACGCTAGGGCTTTCTTGTTTGGGGAAAGGGGTGGTGTGCGCTCATAACACACGTACCCAGGTCGGCGTGTCTGACTGCGACAGCTCTTGAGCCGGTCACCTTCTCCGAGTCGACCTCATAGGGTTGTTAGGAGGGTAAAAGAGAGGAGGGAGAATCATCCTGTGCTGCACAGAAGGAAGGGAGGGGGCAAAAATGTACCAGGCGAGCTGTCTTTTGGTAGCTCAGAGCACTCCCCTTTCTCTGCCGGTGACTTCCCTGCGCCATGTGTCATAGAATGTTAGAGTTGGAAGGAACCTCGCAGGTCATCTAGTCCAACCCCCTGCACTCTGCAGGAGCATAGCTGAAAGACAGCCCTACATACCGGAAAGATGGTCGTCCAGCCTCCACTTGAAAACGTCCAGCGAAGGAGCATCCACCACCTCCCGAGGCAGTCTGTTCCACTGCTCAACCACTCTGACAGTTAGGAAGTTTCTCCTGATATTTAGCCGGTATATCGACTCCCTTGTAATTCCCACCCATTCGATCTAGTCTCGCAATCCGGAGCAAGAGGGAATAGATCTGCTCCATCTTCTACATGACAGCCCTTCAGATACTTGAAGACTGCAATTGTGTCCCCTCTAAGCCTTCTCTTTCCCAGGCTAAACAGA